TTCTACTAATAAAATCCCCATCTATATCAAATCCCCATCTATATCACCAATCCCCATCTATATCACCATCACCTTGAACAATAGACCCAAAATATCTAAAAATTTCACACCTTTTAATGATTTGATCACCCTTAGTTACGAGTTTGTCACTAAAGCTATAACTACTAAAATTACATTCAATGTATTCATTCTCAGATCTACTCAAATGAAAGCCTTTAAACTCCAATGTAGACCTCCAAAATTAAAGTTTCTCTTGAACTCTTTCTCTAATCTCCATAATTTAACTTTCTAGCTATTTTATGTAATTTGCATCTTTTCAATTAGGCTTTAAGATTTATATAAATATACACACTTATATTATGTAACAATTTATTATTAAATAAACAATTAAAACTTAAATAAATCAAACCAAAACATTTCTTGCTACTATCACACTTCACTCAATCCTAATTGAAATTTCTTTAACTTGAATCCTGATTTAATTAAACCTCACTTAATAATTAAAAATTAATGATATAACAAATTCATAAACAAATATTATAAAACCCTTAGCTTCTACAGTTTTGTCTCCCTTATCACTCACGCAGACCTCTCCTCCTATGCTCTGCTCGACAGCGACATCGTACGCGGATCCTGCGCCCCCCACCTCTGCACGCAAGATTCTGCTTTTATTGTAGGCACGAGAGCTCCTCTTTCTCTGTACGCAAGACCCAGCCTGTCTCTCTGCTACGCTCAAAGCTCCCACGTCATCGCCCTCGCCTTCTCATCGCCAATACTTCCTTAAACTTTGTAGCCCTTATCGAGCGTCTTGTCTCCTCTGCTTGACAATGTCGTCGTCAGTCTCCATCGCCACCCTAAGCTTCGATCGATGCATTGGGAAGGCCTAGCTTGCACCCGTCGATCCCATGCCTTCGTCCGCCCCATTCAATCAAGTTAATCTCACCTCTGCCTCGCGTTTGTTTATAGAGCAAAGGTACCCTTTTGTGTTCCCAACTGCTCGCTTCCTCTCCCTCTCTTCAGCTTTTTCGGCAATATAAAACGAGGTGTCACAATCTTCCTCACAAAAATTTCATCCTCAAAATTTATAACAAACCACAATTCATTTCTCATTACCCAGGTCAACATAACTATCCATAAATTTCACGATTAAAACTATGGATAATTCATTAAGATGAAAAGTGATCATTGTTAAAAACCTGATACAATTCGGCCCAACCATACTCCTTTTATCAACAAAATCAGGATAACCAAATATCAAAAAAAACACAATTACTGAAGCAACAAAGTATGGTAAGAAAACACCCTTATATGTAAGAAAACGTCAAAGTCATCAGTCCTATCACCATCAACAGCAGAAGATTCTTCAGGCTCATTATGAGTAAGGGAATAAACTTGAAGCCGAACATGATGTATTGATTGAACTTGGGTAAGAGCTGAAACTATAAACTCAATCCTTTTATGCCGACCTGCAGTCTTCTATGAGGGAGCTTCGCCTGAATTCAAATCTTCAGTGCCCGTTTGGCCAAACAATGGACAATATCTTGTTACATGACCAGACTGACACCACCAGTAACATGTGTTAGAGCCCATCAAGTATTCATCCTTCTGTTGTCTTCTGCATTTAGTGCAAGTGACTACAGGTCTTTAAGTCATACCTCTACTAAATGCACTCAAGTTAAACTTAGACTTCTTCCCATTGGATCCCTCTAATCAGTTCACTTGCTCTCCTCATCAAAACACTTCCTCTTGTGCATATCTTTATGCTTCTGAGTGAGGTGATAATCAATCTCTACTCTTCTAGCCCGCTCCACTATCATTGAATAGCCATCAATCCCAAGTAGCACTAGTGGATGTTGATTGAATCATTCAATCCTAACTTGAATCTGTAGCAATTTTCTTTTGTAGTAGCAATCAACTGTGATGCATACATTGACAGTGCATTAAATTATACGTCGTACTGCATAACTATCTTCTCTCTTTATACCAATCTGATAAATTTGTCCTGCATTTGTCTTCAAGAAAATAGGGTACAAACCACTTTCTGAATAGCTCCACGAATTCCTACCAACTTACCATTCATGTTGGCTATGTCCCTTACTCTCTCCTAAAGTTGCCCATGCCACCATCTTTCGGCTTCTCCATCCAGCACAAATGAAACTAATGACACTCTTCTTTCATCCGAACAGGTCATACAATCTAAATATCTTTTGAATTCGCATCAACCAATTATCTACTTCAATTGAATCTTCAATTCCCTTAAATAATAGTGGATGAAGATCTTGAAATATCTTTAAGTACTTCTCCACAACAATTATATCACTTCCAATAGGCTGAGATCTAGAATCCTGAATAAGCCGAGTCATGGCTGCCATCATATGGACCAGGACATTCGTATTCACATTTATAGTAGGTTGTACTTCATTGTTTTCTATCGAACCCCCTTCTATAATTTTAGGTGTATCCCCTTGCCCGAATGGATATAATTATTAATTTGAGTTAACTTAATTTTTTTTTTATTAAACTTTTCTTATGACCATTAAAAGTGATTTTAAAAATTAATTATATATCATTGACATATTAATATTTTTTAATCTATACATAACCGTCATAGGAGCACCATCTAAGCTTATATCTATTAAGATACTTCAATATCAATATCTTTTTTTCCATGTACGAGCACAAGTACCTTAGCATCCCTCCGCTAATACCAAAAAGTGGTGTGACTCCAACATAGTCAAGTACGCACATACAAGTATAATATGAAAATCACTATTTCGAAAATGATTATTTCATTCTCATTTGTTCAACATTTAATATACTTATATAACAATCAATAACTATAATAATTTAAAAAAATTCTAAGTAAACCTCTTTCTTACAATATAAATAAAAATTCAATAAAATCTTAAATTGTGAGTTTGCAGTCATTTTAATATAACTAGTGATAGTAACAGTAAATACATTTTGTTTAAAAGAAGCAAAAATATTACTATAGTATAAGAACATGAGTGATCATTTCATTCACTGATAATTCTCTAGTCAATCATCTCTTCACTAATCTCCAATAAAAACCTATAGTAAAATGCATAAATAATTATAATTACTTTATTATATGTTAATCTTATTAATCGAAGGCAATTTGTCTTTATTTTACCTTTGAAGTATCATATAATAATAAATATTTTATTATTATTAAGTTAATTGTTGTCTTCATTTCATAATATAAATTTAAATATTTCTTTCAAACAATTTAAACTTGATAAAATTTTAACAATAAAATGTTAGTTCTTCTAATTTTACTTTCCAATTATTTTATGTAATTTATATCTTTTCAATTAGGCTTTAAGATTTATACAAATATACATATATTTATATAAATATAACAATTTATTATTAAATAAATAATTAAAACATAAATAAATCAAATCCAAACCTTTCTTTTGTCGCCACCCTCTTCTCGATCCTAATTTGAAACATCTTTAACTTGAATCTTGATTTAATTAAGCCTTATAATTAAAAATTAATAATTAATAATATAATAAATTCATAGACAAATACAATAAAACCTTTACCTTCCACGGTTTCGTCTCCGCTATCCCGACGCCTCTACTTCCTTAAGCTTTGTCGCCCTCGTCAAGCATCTCTTCTTCTCTTCTTGACGACGTCGTCGTCGTCATCCTAAGCTCCGATCGATGCACGGGGAAGCCCTAGCTTGTGCACGTCGATCTCATGCCTTCATTTGTGCCTTTTAACTCTCCAGGTAAGTCAATCTCGCCTCTACCTCGCATCTGTTTATAAAACAAATGTGCCCGTTGCTTCCTCTCCCTCTCTTTGGCTCCCTCGAGGATATGAAATGAGGCGTCACAATTCTTTTGAACGCTAGGATTGTGCTCAAGTTGAACTTAAGACAATTCGCACTATTAAACACTTTGTTGAAACATGGATGTATGAATTCGAGAGCATTATCATTGAAAGTGACAACCTAAAAATCATCTCCTCCTTCCAGCAAGCAAACGTTGAAAGCCAATGGAAAGCTAGACCACAGAACACTGATTATTTCTCCTTTTTTACCACTTTTAAGCAAGTTTTGTTCCAGCCCATAAATTGGAAAATAAACACAGTTGCACATAATTGTGAGCATAGGGCCAACAAGGCATTTTTATATGGAACAATGATAATTCACACTTTCTCTTCCCTTTTGTTGACTGAGCCCATATTTGTGCTGGCTAGGCTCTTTGGTTATTTATCCCTTGTACAACTTTAGTTTTTATTAATGCAACATGCAAACTTTCAAGGGACTAAAATTGCAGCATCTAAATAGTTAAAGGACTATTTTGACACTTTATTCCCTCTATAATGTATGTATTAGATGATCAGTATATGATGGTTTGAATTACCATTGATTAGTAAAGGTTGCGTAATAACTAGTTATACAAGACAGAAAAAATCATCCATCATTTGTGTATTTGCTTCAAGTTACGTTAGCATAATCAATCTTGCATTGGTTTTTGAAAAATAATATAAAGTTTTGTGTTGTCCGATAATTTTAATTTTAGTTAAAAAAATAATAGTGTTAAAAATAATTAAGTTAATCATTGCTTTAAAATTACATACTAAACATGAAGCAAAAGAAAGCATCCAGCTATTGAACTCCTGTAAATTAAAAGGACTCTGATTACAAATTAAAAATAGAATCACCTTAGTGCCTTTATAGCTTCTCAAATTAAGAGAACAGAAACATATGAAGCATATAAATATAAAATTAATTATAACAGGATGGGAACCTTTATATCATCTCCCTGTAATCTACTAGCAACAATAGAAACAAAAGCACAAAGTAAAAGCAGTAACCCTAGGGAGATTTTCATCCCGTAAAAATCACTGTGTTGTTTGATGTCTTAAAACTAGGATGAAGCTAAAAATGTGAAACACGGAAGCTTCAGAAAGCTCAAAAAATTGTTTTACAAATGAAAAATAAGTTGCAGAAATAGATGATTTACCTATCTGAATTTTGGTAAGCATCTAATGGTTTTTCTGAAGTAGACCCAAAAGTGGATGGCTCCTGTTCACACTATTGCAGGTTTATGTCAGCAGTTTTTTAGCTTTTCTAGAGTAATAAAAAGAAATACAAAACAACACGAGAGTTAAAATCCAGGAACCAAATATAATATTGTCCTTATGCCAACTACATAGGCTATCATCGCCAAAATATGTCTTGGAGAGAAAAAGATAACAAAACCATATTGCTGATGAAATTCCTCGAGCTTCCGTCATATTCCTTCGCTTCAACAATGTCTTCATCATCAACGATCTAAAAGAGTTCTTATAAAAAATCAGCAGCAACACAAATCAATCGATAAAATAAAATAATAATAAAGCAACAGTAAGTCTTGGAGGTACCAAAAAAACAAAATGCATTTGGATTATCAAAAATGGAAAAGCTATACGTAGCAATACCAATGATGCTTGGATCTTCAAATCTTCGATATCAAAATTCCATGCACTGACTCCTCTCTGGTACTCACTCTGTCAAAAATGATTTTCAAATCATCATGAAGTAAGGGTTTTGCATTTATAGAAGCTGTGAGTAGATATTATAACAAATATACCAAGTCCTTATTTACGTGGATATGGATATTAGTCGCTCTATTTAATCAAAAAATTTAGAAACAACCACCACATATTACCTGACACCATAAAATATTCTACATTTTATTTTAAAACTTTAGAAAAAATGGATTAAGTTCTTAAAACAAAGTAAATAAATTTTAAATGAAATTAAAACTTACATGAAATGTTCAACATATTTGTATTTCAAAGAGTAAAGAACATTATGAAGCCAAAAGGGTCATTTATGCACTGAAGGCGAAGCGAAGTGGCTTAGGTAGTTAGTTATTAGTTCATGACTTGTGTATAGGGCTTCAAATAAACTAATAACATCTACCATTAACTTTAAGATTATTTTAGGAATAAGAATTTTAAATAAATTTTAAATTTTTTATTACTCTATTATCATATGTAATAAATTATTTAAATTTATGAATGAGAATAAAAATTTATTTCATAAAGTAAATTATTATGTTTACAATTAGTTGTGATTTCTAATTTATTAAACTAAATAATAATTATTAGAATTTTATCAAATTAATCAAATTTTAATATGTAATTTTTTAGCAATTAATTATTAAATAGTTATATATACATTTATCTAATTATAATTAATTTGATAACATATTAATTAATTATTCATTATTAATTATTAAATTTATTAAATTAATAAAAAACACTTAAATTAAAGCCCCTTGTAACCCTTGCTTATGTCCCATCTACCCTCCCTTCTCCATTTTGTTGAAAACCATCGCCTTTGTGACCGAACCCTTGCGAATAGGGTTGGAAGAGAAGACCCGAGGGCAGTGGTGGCATTGGTTAGGTGGTTGGGTAGTAGTGGTAGGGTTAAGGTGGAGTAGATGGGGGAAGGTAAGAGTGAAGGTGACCGATGGTTGGGTATGAGAGGAAAGGGATAAGAAGCTGATGGTGGTGTTTAGGAGAGGATGGACGACAGGTAAGACTGTAGCGAAAGGTCGATAGGGTGTTGGTTGGATGGCCTGGAGAGCGAGACAGCAATTGCTACTGTAGGGGAAAGGATGACAGGGTGTTGGTAGGTAGATTGGAGGGCTCGGCAGCAAGGCTGCAGCAGTAAAAGGGGGTGGCAGGGCAGTTGGGAGGAGATGGGATGCCCGGTGGCTAAGGGATGTGAAGGAGAAGTGATAGGGAGGGAAATAGAAGAGGATACATCACCACCTCGGTAAATGATACATCTGGAGCACCACCCGTCCTCGAATACAGCCCTCGCAATGAAAAACAAAGACTTCTACAGAAATCTAAAATAACCCACACAAAACATAGCCCTAATTCCAGCACCAAGCATATAAATATACTCCCATCAGGCCGGAAAAGGGAAAGAAAAGGAGAAAAGATAACAAATGAAAGTAGAAAGAGGTTGGCGGCATTGCCGCCCCTTCAAAGTGTCGACCTCGCTCAATCCCAGTAGGAATCGGGATCAGCCTCCTTCTAAGTGCCGCTCCCGCTCGATCTCGTAAGAATTTGGACCGGACTCCTTAGATTGGGTTCACTCGGTCTGTTATGACCCGATCCGGAGCTTGAAATTAAGAAAGACCATAACAGACGGTCGGACATTAAAAATTATAACTTATTTATATTCATTATATGGCTAACATTTAATGAATAAAATAGCCACTAAAAAAATAATTAAAGAAGAAAGACCATAACAGGCAGTCGGACATTAAAAAATATAACTTATTTATATTCATTATATGGCTAACATTTAATGAATAAAATAGCCACTAAAAAAATAATTAAAGTAATAAGTTAAATTTTACCTCATTATGGTTGTCTCTGGCGTCTATATACATTTATTGTCTATCGTTCAACTTTTAATAAATTAATTAAATTTGAAAAATTAGTTAAAAGAATAGTTAGCTAAAAATAACTAGTAAATACTTATACTCCTAAGTAATAGTAATTCAAAGAAAATGGAGGCAATAAGCATACCAATTAAACAATGTAAAAAATATAAGGTTGTTGACATTTTTTACGATCTAATATGATCATTTAAGGTGATTTTACACTTTCATTATATCTTGTTATATTGTTTACATATCAATATTTTTTTGATCTATCTGTATACGTCACAGGAGCATTGTTTAAAAATTTATACAATTTATGATACTTCAATATCAATATCTTTTTTCATTTATGTGCACGGGTACTTTAGTCTTCCTCTGCTAGCACCATAATGGGGTGACTCCATTATAGTCAAACATACACATGCGAGCACAAAATAGTAAATTTCATTCGTATCACACCATTCAATAACTTGAACTATGTATTTAAATAACAAGAAAATATCAGTGCATACAATCGATATGATCAAAATGAAATTAAAAAGTGTAAGTACTCACTCTAAGCAAGTCATCGAGCGAATCAAACTAAAGAGAAATCAATATTATTATAACTTAAAAGTATAAGAACTCACCAAACCTTTTTATGATCATTTTAGCCACTTAATCCTTGATGTCCTCTATTCAATGTCTATGAAAGCAAAACATAATATTTTATCACTCAATGATTTCTCTTACTCAAAAGTCTAAAGTATTTTCCAATTACATGTTGTTTTAGGTATTAATATATTTTTTTAAATTAAAAGACATATAAGTAGAACTTACCTCAATTAATTTTATTTGTTTGCTCCTTCCTCGATCACCTCTCTTAATTATATTATCGAAATTATGATTAAATTAAATTACTATTAAAATATTAATAGTTAGACATAGATATTAAACAGATAAGTAATATGCTAAAACCTCTTAACTCAACTTTTTTTTGCTCCCATCACCCCCTACTCGATCCAAATCTGAAGCTTCGATAGCTTGAATCTTGATTTAATTAAACCCTAATATTAACACATAATAATTAAAAATAAATATATATTAAACTTATAATTTATTATTTGATAAAAACCCTTACCTCTATCAACAATTTGGTCTGGCTCGGTTCTCACATGATTTCTCCTCTTCCTCGCTCGTTGGCTCCTTCCCCTATCCTCTTCTTCGCACGAAGCTTCTTCTTTTTTTCCTCTGCACGCGAGCACAACGCATAAGTCTCCTCCTTCCTCCTCTGCCTTTGATCACAACTCAACCCACGCAAGCATCCACACAGGAAGACTTCTTTCTTCCTCAATAAAGAATCGACTTAGCACAGTTTGGGAAGGTCGTCTTCCTTCCTCACCATGACACGCAAGAGCTGCATGATGTTTCCTTCCTGCGTCACAATTGAGTTCGCTTGGCTAGGGCACGAACTCTACACTCTTACACAAAGTCACTACCCATACCCACATTTGAAACCTCATGCGCACGTAAACAACGTCGCCACCTTCCCTTGTTGTAGATGCATGCGACAACCACAATATTTCGAGGCCTTTCTTCTTTCGTGCACCATCGAGCTCCTCAACGCTTCAGTCATTGTTTTCAAAGTGCTATTCAGCCCCATAGGTAAGGATGCTCACGATCGGAATCAATGTCATCCTTGTCTAGCTTCCTCTCTTCCTCCACTTCTTCCTTCTCCTTCACTTACGCTTCTTCCTTCCCCTAAATCTCTCTTCTCTCGCTCTCTCAATCTATTACGAACGAAGACATTAGTTCTTCGACTCTCAAAGACGAACCGGGTTGTCGAGAAGTATCATTGAACCGATGCCATCAATTTAATCTTTGTAAGTCTTTTTTTTCTTTTTTTTTGTTATTACAATCTCCCCTTATTATAAAATTTTGTCCTCAAAATTTGTAAATATACACCAAGCCTCCAGTCACTTCTCTTTAAGCAAGTAAGACTTAAATTATCCATAAATTTTCATGAAGTTTAAATCACTTTCAACAAGATTAAACATGTAAATAATAAAACAATGGTCTGATATAAGATAACTCAATTAAACTTCTCCCATTAATTGAAATAGGGTAACATCACACGTGAAGCAAGGTAACACAACAATAACACAACTCATTCTTTGATAAAGATATACATTAAAATGACACTCATATAACATGCGACAAAACAAGAGACATATAAATACCTTATAGCAACAACAACAGTAGTATGTTCTTCAGGCTCTCTACTAATAAGAGAATAAGCTCAAGGTCGAACCAGCTATCTTATTTAAACTTGAATAGGAGCTGAAGGTATTGAATTTATCCTCCTCTGCCCACCTGCAGTCTTTTGTGAAGGAGCTCCAACCGATTTCGATTTTTCTGATGTTTTTCGGGCAAAGGGCAATATCTTGCTAAGTGACATGGTTGGCGACACCAGTAGCATGTATGAAACCCATCAAACATTCACCCTTATGTTGCTTTTCACATTTGACACAAGTGACTACGGTAGTACGAGAACTGCCACCACTAAATATATCAGAATTGAACTTGAGCATCTTCACATTAAGTCTTTCTGATTGCTCCACATGCTTTCCTTCATCAACACTTCTATGTTTGTCATCTTAAGCTTCTGAATAAGCTGGAAATCAATCTCTACTCGTCTAGCCCACTCCACTAATGTTGAACAGTCATCAATGCCCAAAGATACCAACTGTTGTTTGATCGCATCCTTTAATCCTGAAAGGAATCTATAGCACTTCTCTGTCTCAGTAGCTATCAGTTGTGGGGTATAAATTAATAATACTGTGAACTCTGCTTCATATTGCATGACTGTTTTTTCTCTCTGCACCAACTTGATGAACTTTTGTTGTATCTGTCTTCGAGCAGATAGGGGTACAAACCACCCCCCAAAAAGCTCAACAAACTCCTCCCAACTTAACATCATGTTTGGTATGTCCCCTAACCTGTCTTGACTTTACCCACGCCGCCACCTTTTGACTTTTCCATCCAAAACAAATGTAGTCTTTCGCCAAGACACTTCATGGTATTGAATATCTTCTCTATCCACATTAGCAAGTTTCAGCTTTAATTAGATCTTCAGTTTCCTTAAATAAAAGTGGACGTGGATCTTGAAATATCTTCGAATAATTATTCACAACAAAAGTATCACTTCTAATATGCTACGATCTAGACTCCTAAATCAGTTGAGGCATGGTTGTCATCATCTGAGTAAGAACATTTACATTAACATTAACAACAAGCGGTATTTTTGTATTATCTAACAGACTTCCTTTTTCTATTGTTTCTAGTGCACGTATTTGCCTGAATTAAAATAATTATTTAACTAGTGTTAACTTGAATTCAAGATATTTGGGTGCACTGCTTTTGGTTGAAACTCTAATCCTAATCGGAGTGAACTTAATCTCATATCCATGAAATGTATTTTCCTTGGGTACTCTGTCACTTCAAAGCGGTATTGATGTTCTTATTCTACCACTAACAAAATCTACGTGAGTGTCGATGTCTCCTTCTTTGAAAGTGTTCCAATTTCTTTCCTAGCTCGGCCACAAGTGAGGGGGAGCATGGGTTCTTAGACACTATCCTTTATCCTACTCCTATGGATGTTCCCCCCCAATGCTCCTGCCTCTGAGGAGTCTTCTATTCCGGTGATGACACCATCCGGTGAGTCCCCTGATTCGGTGCGTGCACCATCTCCTCCTCCCACTATCCATGTCCTACACTCGACACACTCGTTCCAATGCTCCTACTTTGGAACCGTTTCCTCCTCACAGGACCTTTACTCCTGGCGCCATCCTCAACACGACCCCTCCACCTAATGTGAGTTCTCCGTGTAAGGTATGCAATCAGACATGCTCCATCTATTCTATGGCAAAATGTCTCTTTCCGCAGTTTATCGCCAACCTACAGAGCATTTGCTACTGTCCTAATGGACCATCAAATCTCTGCTACTATTGAGGTTGCTCTTGTTGATCCAGCCTGAAAAATGGTAGTAACGGAGGAGATGAATACCCTTCGACGAAACCATACGTGGGAGGTCGTTGATCTTCCTTAGGATAAGAAAGTTTTGGGGTGTCGATGAACTTTTAGCACCAAGTTCAACTCTGATGGATCCTTTGAATGCAACAAGGCACGATTAGTTACCAAAGGGTACTCACAAACCTATGCAGTTGACTATAAGAAGACATTTGCTCCAGTGGCCAAGTTAAGCACAATTAAACTCATGTTGTCCCTTGCAGTAAATCCAGATTGGTCATTATTCCAGCAAGATGTCAAGAATGTGTTCTTGAATGGGGAGCATACATAAGAGGTATGTATGTCTCTCCCTCCTGGCTTTGAATCTACTGCCTCCAGAAGGCAAGCGTGCAGGCTATGAAAGTCCCACCAAGGGCTAAAGCAGTCTCCAAGTGTCTGGTTCAGCAAGTTCACAAAAGTGGTTGTAGGTCATGGTTTTAGTCGGGCTCAATCAAATCCCATTCTCTTCTTCATACATTTCTCTAATGGCCAAGTAGCAATCTTTATTATCTATATTGACGATATTATTCTTACAGATAATGATCTCCTAGAATTGGAGTCCTTGAAAGACATTCCTGTTGAGCCCTTTGAAATTAAGGACTTGGGATCTCTCTGGTACTTCTTAGGCATGAAAGTGGCTCGATCATCTCGAAGCATTTGTTTATCTCAGCGCAGATATGTGGTTGATCTATTGACAGAGAACAATATTTTACTGTGCAAACCCGTGGTTGTCCCTATGAATCCCCATGAAATATTATCAAACATCCCAATGTTGTGTCTGTCAACAAAACTCACCATCAGTGTCTTGTGGGGAAACTCATTTACCTCACCTCAACATATGCTACGTAATTGGTATGGTAAGTCAATTCATGCATGACCCCTACGAACACCATCTTCAAGCAGTTCACCAAATTGTCCACTATTTAAAAGGTACACCGGGCTCATGTTTGTTTTCCTCTCATCACACCTCTCGGTCTATTATTATTAATATTGATGCTACTGGGGTTGGTTTGATTCATGATCGACGTTCCACCTCGAGGTATTGCTCGTTTGTACGGAAAAATCTTGTCACGTGGAAAAGCAAAAAACAATCTGTGGTTGCCCAGAGCAATGTTGAAGCTGAATTTCGGTCCATGTCCTTGGGGATCTGTGAAGCCCTCGGGTTAAGCATCATGCTACGTGAACTTCATATGTCAACCCTCATCCCGCTGCAGCTATTCTATGATAATAAGGTCACCATCGGTATTGCTCACAATCCAGTTCAGTATGATTATACCAAACATGTGGAGATTGACAGACACTTCATTAAGAAAAAGATCGAGTCCAAAAAAATTTTTATTCCTTTTGTGCCCCTCCAGTGTTCAAAGAGTAGATATCCTCACCAAGAATCTTCCTTAGCCTTTGTTCAATGATTTCAAATCCAAGTTGAATATGATTGACATTTATACTTCAACATGAGTGATAGTATTAGATTTATAACCACAATCCCTAGTCATTATTACTTCTTATTAGTTTTTATTCCCTCATTATGTATTTCTAATTTACTTTATTCTATTTTATTTCTTTCCTATTGTTTTATTTTGTTTTATTTCTTTATTTATTGTATCTATTGTAATTGGGTTTAAATATCTCTCCTTATATCAATAAAATTATGTTGCCAATAGGTATAATAGCAAATTTGATTTAAAGTTATAAGCAGAGCTAGCAGCATACTAGCATATTTGTTTCACCAGTACTCGAATTCTAAAGCAACTGAACCCAAGAGTTTAGTGTGACTAAAGGTAAGGAGAACTCAAGCATCTAACATACAAGTTTGAATCAGAGTGTCCGATTTCTAAAACTATAAGTCTTTAGAAAAGCATGAAATTATTTCAATATAATATTAGAAATTACTTAACAGAGAACCCAGCAAGCATAATAGTTAGACTGACCAGGGACAATGCCTCCTGTTCTGAAAAAGGAATTTGCTTCAAAGCTAGTTGTTCTGCATCTTTAAGCTGACAAAACCAGAGTAATTCCAGAAAATGATAAAATTTCAAATTCAAATGCAATAAAAAAATTATACAGAAAATCATTGATGAAAAACCTCTAGTGCCTTCACACGATCCCAAAGTGGTGGCAGATCTACCCAAAGGCTTTTGACAGTTAACTCTGGAGGCTTCCCATTTTTGAAAAATGAGTGTTTCAATAATTTTTCAGCAGTTGGTCTTTTTGTTTGATCTTTGACCAAGCACATCGCAACCATTTCTTTAAAAGACTGGTTACCACTGAAAATTCTTTATTAGAAAAATACTCAAGGCACACATAGTTTTCTAACCACACAAGTCAGAGACCACACTGGATCTCAAAACTCAAAAACATTCTCAACATCAAAGCTAAACCCATAATACCTTCGAGAACTTTCTGTCACGGTCGTAATCAAGTCCTGGAACTGCATTTTGGAGGGTCATCAAGAGAACCTATGTAAAATGCAACCAAAAAAAAAATCAATATTTACTGATGCATTCAAGCAAATCCCATTGAATTTTTGCATTGTATTTCTTCTTAATAACACGTCACTTTTGCTGACCGTAAAATACCAAAAAGCGATAAAAGGAAAATATATTAATTAATTAATTTCAAAATAAAAAATCACATGCTCCCTCCTGCTGAAGCTTGCGTCTGGCTCGATAACCACTCCCGCTCTTCTCCAGTTACAAACAAATCTGAACTCTTACTTTCACTTCTTCAGGCTCACTTCAAACAACAGCAACAAAGATTTTTGAAACCTTCTTCTCCTTCCTACGTCAGGCGTACTTCTCCTTTACAGAAGTATTTTTTCGTCCAAACAAAACCCACACAGTTGTTGTTCTACTTGCCACCACAGAAAGTCGCACACTTCCCTCCAGTAAGTCAGTCCTGTAAGGCGCCTAGCTCAAGTACCCTATTATATAGAAGCTAACTTATGCTTGTTATTTCCGTTCACAGACTTCGGTCATACTTTCAAACACATCCAGTCAGGGTCATCGCCAATCATCCACTCAAGTCAGTCATTACTGAGTTGGATATTCTGATTGGCTCTCAAATAGGCGGTAGAACTCGGCGAATTTAACATCTCTTATGTACCCAGACCACGATTAAAGCACAAGCGATAGATGACTGTCAGTCGACTTTTTTGAAGGTTTGAAAATATGAATATAATTTTTAAAATTTAATTTAATATAAGAGGTATATAGTTTGGGTTTTGAAAGTAGTATGTTTTAATTTTTGAAAAATGAGACCAAATGGATCTCATTCATCCAATAGTTTGCATAATCGTGGCTGATACCGCGAATACTACACCCTCCCGAAAGATAAGTGCAGACCTCGGCGATAGACTCAATCCTGCAAACTAAGAGATTAATGAAATCATTTTGGTCTGCGAACCTTTTATATGTGACCAACAAGTTCCCCTATCAAATACAAAGATTAAATAGGGTTTATTTTACATGGGTTCCAAGTTCCCTATAGAGGCAAGCTCCTATAGTTAATTTCATCTCAAATGCTTGGGATCACTTGAGAAAACTCTCGATAATGATCAGAAATACTAGTCTTTAAGATTTCAAAGTTTAGGTTTTCACGATAGGACGTGAAAAGGCAAATGGGAGTGGCTCAAATATGAACAGTTATTTCAGGAGTCCAAAGAAAGGAATAGGTAGGGGATATCATTAATCATGAGGAGAAACTTCCGTGACTTCCCAGACTATCCTGTTGTGTGGCTACATTTTTAAAGATGATGTTATTCGATTATCCAATCCTGCCAATTTTATTATTTGGGACTTACATTTGCATAATACCCGATTATGCAAATAGCCCGCAGAGATAAGAGGATTTACGTCGTGCCACACGACAACCTCGAAACCTAAGACGAGTTAGGACTTACGCTGCACAACATGGTTGTACAAAAGCCTAAAGAAGATGTGAGAATTTACGTCGCGCTGGGCAAACTACCTCGAAGTCTTATGGGTTGTTATTATGCTAGGAAGAGATAATGCTGAAGAAGATCCTCTATTGTTGTGCTGGGCAAACTACCACAAAGTTGGCTCCAAGCTTCTCTTGTAGCGATGACTCCAGAGTTTAAGTGTTTGAGATGGGTGATTTATGTTTCACGGTTTTGATATCAATGTTTGGTTTTGTTTTGTTTCAGTTTTGATTTTAGTTCTGATTTTGCATGCAGAATAATCAAGTTGTAGTTAAATAAAATGTATTTGAAAGGTAAAATGCAGTAAAGTAAAATGTCGTATATCAACTGTAAAAGTGCACATGGGCATCTGTTATTGTTGTGTATTAATATTGCGAGCGAAGTATGACTTGCGACAGATTTAAATAAACTCGTAAGAAAAATAAACAATGCGAGAAAACCCAGCACGAATAGTCAGAAAAATGAGTCGTAAAAAAAATCACGAGCAAAAGAAACCCTTAGCCACATATAAAAGATCAAGCCTAGGTGCAAGTCATTAGTAAAATCAGGGGGCTCAGAGCTGGACTGTGTGCTTCCTGATATAGAACAAGAGTTACCAGCCCGACAATATATAGAAGGCAATCCTTAACCTCAACTCAAGTGACTAGCCTGTGGACCTTTATAAATTTTCATAGAAAGATTTTCATGCAAAAGTTGTTGTTCAAGTCTTTTTTTTTATGCAGAGTTCTTTTTAACATGCAAAAGAAATTTTTATTTTTATTTTTTGTAAATATTTTATAAAATAGTATATTCCACAGGCTAGTCACTCTAATCGTGCTAGAACTACTGACAACCCGAGAGTGTCAGGGGCAACGATCCCACCAAAAATCGGCGAATAGTATCACGGATCATTTCCTCTTCCTTATTGAAGATTCTTGAGGTAAGAGATACTATTCTAATAATCTCACTTTGTATCCCTCGTTTAAGCACACATAAGCAATGTCGTCATCGCCCTCGTCACCTAGACCCTAAACTTATCCTAGTCTGGTGATCCATATGTGGCGTTAATAAATTTCTCCAATTGTCATGAGGATTTGAGTGTAATATCCAAATTCAAATCCCGGTGCACTGGGTCTCACTGTCGGTTAAGTCATTGTGGGAATTTCATTGTTGATTTAATTAAAGAAACATGAACTACGCCTCGGTGCACCCTTATGTCTAGTGTCTTAATCAATTTGTGAATCATGGTCAAGTGTCAAGTTTCATTATTTATTTAAAAATTATGTGGATGAACGCTCACCTAGGGTGTGCTCCTAAAATCTAGGAAGTCTATGCTGAGAATTAGGTGGATGGACTCTCGCCTAGGGTGTGCTCCTAAAATCTAGGAAGCCTATGCAGAGAATTAGGTGGATGGGTTCTCAGCTAGGGTGTGCTTCCAAAATCTAGAAAGCCTACACGTTCACTTATGCTTAAAGTGATTTAAAGTGTTATACCCCCAATTAAGTGTTTTTTTCAACTAATCCTCAAACTTCTAAGTGTCTTCCAAACAATTAAATCAAAATTTTTTTTACCTTAACCATTTAACAAAAATACCAAAACAAACGAAAAGAAAAAGTTGATTTACTTTCAAAACTAACAAATCAAAAGAGAAAATAGCAAGTAAATCAACCTAAAAACGTTTAAAATCTTTCAACAACTGTAATTAAATAGACTTTCGAGAAGAGTGTTTAAGTTTGTTCTAAGACAGTGCACAAAATCAGCCCTAATCGACACATAAAGTGACTCCAAAACAGCGATCGAAATCAGTCCAAACCAGCACCTATAGTGGCTCCAAAACAGTGCCCAAAATCAGCTCAAACTGACACCTAAAGTGGCTCCAGAACATTGTGTAAGTCTCTCTAAATCAGCAAGCAAAAACATCCCAAAACAGTGTCGAAATTGCTCCGAAATGGTGCCCAAATTATTTCCAAAACAGCATATAAATCCTAAGCACGAAAAGATACATTTCACATTAAGAAATATAAGTACCTCTTACGTAGAATTAAAGATCAGAGTGGTGTAACTATAAAGCTTAGGTTCCACATATGCAGAGAATATAAGCATTGTATGGTATGCACGTAAAAATCGAAATTGCTTACTGCTTTCTACTACAAACTTATCCATGTATGTAAAACAAAGCTTAGGTATTATGCATACAAGTACATATGATTGACATACAAGTTGATTCTAAGACTTGGGTGCTGGATATGTAAATACATGAGGGTTATATGATATGTATATAAATTTCTCGTAATTGAAACATTTAAATACTGTGTGCAGATCTTCAACCTTCACTCATTCATCAATATGTATTACTCATGGATAAGTTTCTAGTAGAAAGCAGTAAGCATGTTGGGCAATATCGAGTCCACAATTCAATTTTTCATAATTTCTTGGGTTGTGACAGTGAAATTCAAATGTTCAAATATTAATTCTGAAGCACAAACATGAAAAGAATATCTTCCAGTTCCAGTAATAGGTCTAAGGAGCCACAAGTGAATTCAGTAGGTATGTATGTAAATCTTCCTAACTCTTGTATGGCCTATATTGTATAAATAAAATGAGCAAGTATAGGAATAAAACTAGACTGTGTTACCCAATTACTGTAATTGTTGAGGTTCTGTACTCTAGATGTTTAAGAAGCTCAAAGAAGTTCAGTGTTCCTCCTACCTCCAATGTGGCCGAGGGAGGGTCAGTCGAGTGATCCTGGTCGAGAGAAAGATAGGAGTCCAGTGAGAGGGAGCCGTTTGGTCTAGTGAGATGGCGAGCTGAGCGGGGTCTGGTCACGAAGAAAAGGGCAGAGGCGAGCGGGGCTTCGATGCGCTGAAGAGGGAGTTGAGCAGATGAGGGGGAGACCGAATGCGGGAGAGTTGTTTCGGTTCAGGGGAGAGAGAAGCAGGTGAGCAGACTCGGCGCAGAGAGGAGGCGAGCGGGTGAAAGCTTCAATACAAAGAGAAGTATGTCGAGTGAGAGAGGCGAGCAGGAGTTTCTGGAGGGCGAGCGGTGCAGAGAGGAGTCGAATGCAGGGAGAGTTTCAGCGTGGGGAAGGAGGAGGCAGGGCGAACGAACGAAAAGAAGAATCAAGGAGGAGCAGCTTTAAGGTCGCAGAGGAGGAGTGGTTTCGTCGTGTGGAGGAAGGGGCGCGCGGGATCAAGCGTGAGGAGGAAGAGGGAGTCTGCGGCTTCGATGCGGGAGACGGGATCGAGCAGAGCTGCAGCTTCGGTGCGGGGGGATCGAGTAGAGCTGCGGCTTTGGTGCGGGAGACGGGATCGAGCAGAGAGCGGGGACGGTGTCTGCAGCTTCGGTGCGGGAGATGGGAGTGAGCCGAGAGCAGAGACCAAGCGGGAGCGGGAGCAAGCGGAGCGGAGGATGATCCAATCAGGAATCCTCTCCGAAGGCCAATTACTATAAGCCCGCTGAAGATTCGAGCGGGAGCCGTTATGTAAAAGCTTTGGCGGGGAATTAATATGTTTCCTTTAACAGAGGAGATTATTTGGC